AGTAGCGCAGAGGTGAATGACGGCAGTCTTGGCATTTTAAATATATTTGCAAAATAATGTTTTTTTAATCCAATTCTTTTAAATTAGAAAATCCAATTCTTTTAAATTAGAAAATCATTTTTTTTTGATTCTCCGATTTCAAAAAAAAAAAAGAAATTGGTACCTTTCGAAAGGTGATGCCGTGGAGACGTATATGCTCGATGTTTGCGCGAAAAGGGGTATTGCGCCGCAGATTACTTCGAATAATATAAGCCAACAGATGAAGGTAATTACATGAGCAGCATGCTTGGCTTCTGCGCTAATACCCATCGCTGGCATGCAATGAAAACGTCCGCCGCCAGGCCCCGACCCAAACACGCGGTGCACGACAATACACCACTTTCTGAAATTTTTTAAACAAAATTAATCTTTGATACCTCCGAAAATTTAGAATTCAGTTACACGTAGAAACTAGATACAAACTTTTATGAAAGTAGAAATCCTACAAAAAACCTTTTATAAAAATTTTCAAATATTTTTTTTTTTTGAATGAGATATTTGCTCCTGTAGCACAGTGACCAAAAAAGTTTGCAACAAAAAGTTTTTGAAGTTTTTAATATATTTCTTCCTAAATAATGTTTGCTTTTTAACGCATTGCACAGTCCAGAATACAAAACAGGAAACGGCGAATCGTAGATGATTGCTTTTTCAGTAAGAAATATTGAAGCAAGTCCCTCATTACAAATTTTTATTTGTAGTTTGTGAAGTTAAAGTCAAGACTTCCCCCATATCCCGTATATTTTACATACTCTTAATTAATCAACAACATAACAGTTGCAATGATGAGGTCCAGTTGTGGTGTTGAATAGGAATGTGTGTGACTTGATGGACCGAAACATTCTTATTCCACTGAATAATTTATAATTTATGTAAAAACTTCATTTCTTTTTTTCTCTTTGAAGGGCGGAGACAACCGGAAATACCTCAAATGATAGCAAGTGCCAACAACAAACACGTGTTGCAGCGATGTTCGCAGCAAAACTGCGTTGGTTAAAAAAAAATTATTAGAAAAAAATGAAATAATTTATGAAAATTTGACATTTTTCGAGAAAAAAAATTATAAAACAGTGAAAAAAGCCATTAATGGAAGCATCTGTTCTTTGAAAAAAGAAACATGGGAAAAGTGAAGGGCGGGGTGCATCAGGCGAAA